GTGACCTGCAGCAATTTTATCTTGTGTGCAGATTTCGTAGGCACTGAATCTGTATTCAATATTAGCTGATGTTTTATTCTGTCTGCTGTTATTCCTCTTTGTTTGACTTGTATTTTGAAAAGGATTCTCACTTTTGTTTGGTTTTTTTTTTTCTTCTACTTTCTTGAGGATCTCGCGAAACGGTTGTCAAATCATCAAAGCATAGGCTACTTAAACACGCATATATTTGGCATACTTCAACAAATTGAAACAGGTTAAAGACAGTCGGTTAGCAGATAAACCTCACACCTCGCCAATCGTTAGTTTAGTGAGTCAACAGTAGATGGGAAGAAGAAGGCCGGCTAATTTAAGCACAATAATAGACTCGACCCAGGATTCATCGCTGGGTAAATGTCAGGACGGGGAAAAAACACGACAGGAAAAAAAAAGAGAAAACATCAAAGACTAAATGCTATGTACATTTGTATTGTGTTATGCCCACATTCAGAGCTGCCACTGAAAATACCAGGCTGTGGTAAAAGAAGGGGGATAACAACGCTTTCTTTTTCTTAGCCGTTTCCAGTCTGAGTTACGTCCCTTGATCCCTTGTAAAAAGTAGCCTCTGTATTATTTGGTCCATCGACAACTACATGTGTTATTATTATCATTATTTCGAATCATTATCATTATTATTTCCAATAAGAGCAAAAAGAAGCGTAAACATGAGATTTAGTTTGATAACAACAATGGGGCACATTTCGTTTGGAGGGTGAAGGTAAATGTAAAAAAAAAAAAAAAAGAATAAAAGAAACAGATGGGGATTAAGCACTTATGGACATATTTTGACATTATATTTCAATTTTTAGACAAATTTAGAGGAGTAAACGGAAGAAATCGTTTTGAAATCTGTTGCAAATGGAGTTTCAATGAGCATCAGCAGACATAATTTTTTAATGTCATCAATATTCAAAATGACAGTGACTGCAAAAAAAAAAAAGAATGAACACTATATTCCAACACTTCTAAAAAGGAGCAAACCTATTTCCTTAAAAAAATAACACAATCACCCAAAAGTAAAATATGACAATGAAAACTCACGAGCCCAAGGACCAGGCTTTCTCAATAAATCAACACTCAATGACATCATCGTCTATTGTAACCAGTTTCGGGCTTTTCAAAGTGGCGAAGGGACGCGCACTGGCACAGGCAACTGCTCCGGGGGATTTACACGTCATGCCTGAAAAGGAGAGCTTGTCTGTCGTTCTTGTCTGGGACCCAAGCTGAGAAAGTATGTTATTATTCCCTTTCACATTCAGCAGCTCTTTTTGTTCTTCTCCCAGATCTTTGACATCGTTGGGCAATTTTTTCACGACTGGCTCATCTATTTTATCCAAGGGACCATTTTGTACTTTTGGTTCCTTAGAATCCGGAGCTGCGTTCCTCTCTGTAATCGAGGGCAGTTTCTCACGCCGCTGGGGAGAGCAGGTACAGAGACACGTTAACAGGGAGAAAAAGAATGTAATGAAAAGAGGCTCAAACAAGATGTGTATGAGTTTCAATGATATCTTAACAAGCATGCTTCCAAAAAGCAACACCACCATAATATGTGTGAACATTATCATACAAAATAACACATGTTTCTCGGAAACGTGTTATTACGCCATAACAGTCACTGAATTTAGCACCACGACCATAGCATGCCAAAATTTCACATGGTGAGCAAGTCAACATAAATATGATATGCAGGTGACAAAACCATTTTAGAAGTCTTCATGCATACTTATAAATGCTTGATGTTACATAATCAATGCTCAGTTAACAGGCGTGAGCGAATATTTGATGAATGGTTTGAAATCAAGATGAACAAAAGAAAAATGCACCCGTTAAATTTGTGAAAAATAGCAATGGCAAAAATCTTATGAAATGAAATATGAAAAAAAATTGTGATTAGGAACTGTCACAACAACACATAAACACTTACCCAGAGCTCAAAACATAAAAACCGTCTCTCCATTTAAACGGACCACGCCTTCTCAGCACACAGCATGTACATACACCATGAGAATCTCAGGCTGACTTGAAAACCAAACGATAATAGGTTATCTGCGACAAAACTATTTGTTAAAAACCATGGACCAAACGAAAGGATTTCACTGTGGATATTGGGCAGTGATCAGTAGTAGATCAAACCGAAATAGTGCAGCATCTCAAGTGTGTAGCATGCCAACGTAAAGTTGAAGTACAATTTGGGATCTGGTTTGCGTTACTCAAACATATAACATTCCTGTTAGAGGATCAGCAAGCTCACACAAATGTTACGAATAAGCACATACAAATGATGTTCAGTGATTTAATCTTCCTTTGTCACAGGCACAAAACAGGAAGATGAAGGTTTAACCAACTGACGACAGATGGAAAGCTTTAAAACTAAAATGTCCATTTTAAGGGACGGGGCTGAGGTGTGGAATTGGGTAGTGAAGCCCATGGGAAACAAAGAGGAGAACGAGATTATAGAAGTAAAAGAAAATTTGTCGGTACAAAACACAATAATTTTGTGGAACCTAAAGAACGAGGGTAGCGCACCATAAGGTGTTAGGAAGATCCAGGCATCAGTATTTTTTTTTTTCATAAATAATGTAACGAATCATGAAACCAATATGTATTCTAAAAAGTTTCATGACCATAAACATGAAGAGACAAGTACTTTGAGAGCTTCAATAGTACGCGTAACAAATGCCCCAAAATAGCTGAAATAGCCAAACCATAAAAGAAAGAAAAAGCATTGAATTACCGGCGATTATTGTGACACAATGAGCTTATTTTGTGCAACGCAAAAAACCAGCACCATTTATATACTTTTGTGTCAATTCGGGCATAAACATTTCCCCTGATCAAAATTAGTTTTGAAGAAAAGGGATCTCTCAAATGCCCAAATGTGCCACAGTAAGCCTTCTATAGTGTATCGTTGTGTTGTCAATATGTACCTTCTTTTCATAGGAAGTAATACATACACATGTACATTAAGGCTTTCTGATACAGCTGAGAGTGAGAGTGCCTGCCCATGCTTCTCAGAGAGTTTTCGGTTACGAAATAAAAGGATGGTTTGATAGTGAAATACATAAAATGTTTACAGCCATGTTAAGACGGTTGAAACGATGAAGACCTCCGTTTTGATAACTATGATCATTATCAATTCACAATAGGAGCTTAAACAAACTGCAAGCATACTACAAATCATATCAAGATAAATGACCATAAAGGCGAAAGCATTTCTAGCAGCACGAGCAAAAATAGCAGGCATTCCAATGTGTATGTCTCAATATCAGATGTTAAAATATCAAGCAATATGATTCAAACTGAGGCTCCAAACCATGGTCCTGCCCCAGACACCCCAACCCTCTAATGATTTCCCCAAAAAAAATTAGATCCAGAAACTACGGAAACTACATTCAAAATAAATGTTTTATTATATAATATTATCATGAACGTGCATTATCAATTGTCTGATAACTCTTGTGGTTCTGTAATGACTGCAAGGAACAACAGCCTACCACTATGTAAACAAGTCGGCGCGTAATGCAGAAAGATAGGCAAACAAAAGGAAAGCAAGCAAAAGCACTGGATCAAAAGAACATAAAAGGTCTAAGCTTGGCAGTATTCCTTTATGGAATGAGAGAATGTTTTCTGATCCCTTGGTGAGGGATATAGAAAAAATAATCTGAGAAAAATGTGTAGACTTTAACACTTGAAAATTCAACAAAATATAACGCAAACTGAAGATAAAAGAAGAGTACACTTCGGAATCTACAGAAACCTGCGAGGACAGTCTTTTCTCTATCATCTTAGAACTACATTAACTCCACATAACTGAAGTTTCTACAAAAATCCATATAGGCACTCATTAACACATATGTACCACTCCACCCATCCATACCCCCCCCCACACACACACGCATTCACACACATACAATTACTTACAAGTATAGGAAAGTCAAGGGTGATAAAAGTCTTTACAAGTCTACTTTCAAAGCTGTAATTCTCAATCATGAAGATAAAGCAACAAGTAAAAAAACGATTTGTTTTGTTCGAATAGGTTATGCCAAATTCTGCACTCCACAAAGGGACTATGACGTTAAGAGGAGAGATTTCCGATATTTTCTAAATCAAAAACTGCATCTGGGGTAATCTTATTTCAAAAGTGAACGAAGATCAAGTTTACATAGTAGCCTCCGCCTAAGATAAGATCCCACTGCTGACAATCTCCGCTCGTTTAAGATCCCACTGTTTTAAGAAAACAGAATTTTTATAATACAAAATTCACCACTAAGATCCCGCTCTGAAGGTCTCCATTTGGCTAAGATCCTGCATTTCAGATAATAATTTATGGAACAAAAACCCAGGCAAGCACAGTTGATCAACCAAGAGTGAAAATTTGTGACCATTGAACTTCCCATTGCATCACAGATATCAACCATTCTCGTGAATGTGGTCACATGTGCGTTGTATCTTGATGAAACGGTACAATATTTGTCCCAGACGGGATCACATCGAGGTGTTAACTTGCCAACACTTTATTCCCCCAAACATCCCACTCACATCTGAGCTCTCCACTTAACTATACATCACACGCTGGTTGGGTAGGGCCTACAAGTTTGCTCCAGGTGGTATCACATTGAATTGTGAACTCTTCCTTGACCATTGCAACAGTTGTCTCTGCTCCAGAATTTGCGAGACAGACTGAATTTTAATAGATTAGATCACAACGACAAAGGAAGGGAAACTCTGTCAAAAATGGAAAACTATAAATTTTGAACAGACAAAGGGGAGGGGCAACTGGATAGGCGTAAATCTTGACATTCATGATAAGATAATAAGTGAGAATGGCATGTCCCTTGCCACTTGATTGGTCATCAAGGTTGACCATTCTTTGCTCAAAATCCGTCATAAACCCATCCCAGGGTTACATCAGTTCATTATATAGTGAAGGGAGTCCATTTTACCAGTTGTGGGCTTGATTGAAGCCCTAAATTTGTAGATAGTTGTGATTCACATCTTGCCCGAGGTGAAAGAAGAAAAGAAAAGGAATCCATTGAGAGGCAAGGCTGAAAGTTAGGAGGACTCACCTCTTCATCCAGCGTGTTCCTGCTGCCCAGAGTGTCCGTGCTCTTCCTCAGCAGCATGCTGCGGGACAGTCGGTTACACAGACTCACCACACGCATAGATTGCTGGGGAGCAGAAACAGAAACTTGTGCTTATGGGGACGGTGTGAAAAGATTTTTGTTTAGGGTGGGTGTTTTTATGTCCTGATTGGCACAATTTAGATCATTGGGGAAGCAGCCTTCAACCCTGCTTGTTGGGACAAATTTAGGCTGACGGGGATACGATGTTCCGGCAGAAAGACCAACACATTTGATAATTATTCTCCCAATACAGGACTCGAGAACTTGAGTCATCTGTGTGTGACAGCAAAGCGCCAAATTACTGCACTAAAGATGCCCATGGGGATGACAGAGTAAAACCTGAACGGGTTGAATGGTAAACAGGGGAACTACAAAATGCAGCATAACGGAACATAAAAGTTGGAGAAAAAAAAAGGGCTCAGATCTCTAAAAATAAAAACAAAATATATTCATGAAAAAGAGGAATGTGACTAAAAAATTATAGTTATATCCATACAATTTCTTTCCTACAAATTTGTTATTTTTGTCTCTCTGGCTGCCACTACATGTACTAGCACTACAATAGCCTTTTTGTGCTGGTGTGCTTTTCCATTATTCAAACGAATAAATGCATAGTAAAAAAACAAAATAAACCATAGAGGCCCCATTGTTATAAAAAAAAACCTGAGCTCTGTCAGCCTGTGAGCAAATGTCGGAGACAAAAAAGTAGTCACTTGTCATCTCCGCAAACGTCAAGCTACACACACTCAAAAAGCAATGTAGCATAAGTTCATTGAGTTAATGTTCACTTTTATTTTTACACTTTTAAGCCTTTGCATGATTTTAAAGATAAAATAACCCTTTGAAAGAAGGGTCCAGTCCTATGATCAACACAATCCTGTAATTGTTCTGGGAAAGAAAGTTGTTTTCTTTAACAAGATTTCAAATCTAAATCGTCAATCTTAAGTGAAATTTGAAACTTAAACTTGGTTCAAAGTTAACACCTATTATCTTTTCTTTGTTTTTGAAAAACTGTTAACGTTTAAAAATCTTTGTTTGCATACATGCTCTTCCTGATAAGCTCTAAACTAAAAATCCTGGGGGATCAGAAAATCCAGATAAGAGACCGATGACCCTTATCAGAAACAAGGTTAATAATGTAATCCAAATTTAGGCTAAATTAACACTGCTGAAATGAGATTTTTCGTAACATGAACTCAAAGAAAACCTCAAACGCAACTTGAACGGAAACCAAGCACCACAAGAACGTCTTCCTCTAAACCAGTGATCAGACAAGAATACAAACAAATTTGAAATACATTAAATTGTTACCCTGGAGTGACAAATCATATTTAAGGAAACAACAAAATTTTTAAGAAAATGAGCGGGGACAACTTGTCTGCACACAAACCCACCTTCTGATACATTCCTCTGATACTTTCCTTTTCCTATAAATCCATTGCTTATAACCACGCTATTTCCAGCACTATTACACCCTTATTGTGTTGGAGTGCTTCTCTTTTTATTCCAACAAACAAAAACAAAGAACATCTACATAGTGTGCACTTTTTACAAAGCTACAAATCCAGCAGCCTCAAAATGTGTCACGGCGTGGTGGAATCAGGCGCTCATCAGATTTTTGGGCATATGGAGTTATTGGTATCACCTTAAAGCTTGTTCATTTGCCTTGATTTGAATGAAAAAGATATCCTTAATCTTGAATAGAATTCAAGATATTTGCGATCAAAGGAGGTGGGGGTCATCAGTTTCAGAGGTAAAATTAGGGAGAAAATGACACCAAAGTTTGGTGGTTTCCACAGCTTGAGATTCCTTGAAAACTAAAAATTTACCGTTTTTGTCCCTTTAATCAACGTTTTTCCAGTAAAATCCATACAGAAATGTGTTTTTAAATGGACATAAAAGAAGTTGAGTCAATTTCTCCCATTTCAGTATTATGACAAATGCTTGATTTCACCACAATGCCTCACAAATACTATAAAAAGGGAGCAAACAAATAAAATCAGAGTAGCAGTATCGCCACTTCAGATGCAATATACAAAGTGAGTCTCCAACCTTCCATCTCTTCCTGGCCATGAAAGCTTTGAAATTGTCGATGTTGATGACCGCAGACTTGCGCTGCAGCTCTTCATTCTGCTTTTTTGGCCTTATCCAGGCATGGTTAATGCAGTCGTCAACTGTAGCCCTTTTTCTGGGACACAAAGAAAAAAAACAACTCATTAAACCTTAAAAGTGTTAAACCAGAATTTCTTAGTTTTCATTCTCGTTTTATCTATTCAAATTTTTTTTCAAGGATGACTGATTGACTGATGGAGTCAAGCTCAAAATCAAAGTAACCCAAATGTGTTAGAATACTGACAAGAATATTACAACCGTATTACGCTATCAGAGAACACAAAATATCTTTAAACCAGGATAAGCCTAAACATAAAGGATGTCATTTAGACTTTATCCAGGAGCCCTTATTGATTGCATGGGATATTTTCAAACAAACAAATAGAAGAAATAAAATATGGAAATCTGCATTAATAAATGAAAAACAGACAAAGCAAATGTAAATGTAAACTACAACAGTCTTGATACAACGATGAGTACAAGGTGTCAAAATAAATTTTGTATGCAATATGCTCTCTCTCTCTCTCTCTCTCTCTCTCTCTCTCTCTCTCTCTCTCTCTCTC